AATCTAATACAATAGTGTATATTTGGTAACAAAATCATAACCCAAACTATCCGCTAATTACCCTCATCTTAGTATATACTAACTTCGACGTATGGTGTGTCTTCCCTCTGGATAATTAATCCCAAGCACATACACTGATATATAGATTATGTCATGCGTTCTGCATAATTCTTTTCATAACAATACGTGATTTTTGATAACTATCTTTATGATCAAGAAAAAACGGAGATGCGTTCGTCAACTACAGTGTTAAAAACGTTTATACAAACGCAGTTTAAAATTTACATCAATACTGCATCTGTTTGCAAAATATGTTGATTCTTCATTATTTAGTTGTTAATCCAAATATATCAGTTATCGAGGAGGCACAATTTGTTCTCATCGGAATTCCGATTTAAATTATATACGACAAACGTAGTGTCAATCAAATATTTCTAGCGTTTATTAATTTCGGTGTGTGTGATGGGGTTTCCTTGGTAACGCGATCTAACAAAATGCAAAGAATTCAATTCCGATGTGTATTTTGATGTTTAGTACTTTCCAGCTGCTACAGTAGGCTTCTATTGAACATTTAACACAAAACACGACACGATGATGTTTACGCAACAATAAGTAAAATTGGAGAACATATTTTATATACGTCCGAGTTGAGAAAGCAATTTACATTTTTAATTAACTACATATAGTTAATACATAAGTAGTCCCAGAGAAAGAGAAAGTAGTTTTTGGGTCATAAATCACAGCAAAAATTAGTATTTGTATACAATCAGTATTTTTAGACGAAATATGCCGGGCCCACGACATAAACTCTACAAATATCAGTTTATATGTTTGGGATAAATTATTCAGATAGAAGACACGTCAAACATCGAAATAGCAGATGAGTGAGTAAACAGGAAAGGAAGAAACGAAGAATAGAATGAGGAAGTTGAGGGACAATACCCGATTAATTTAAAGTTTACTACTAGTTTGGGGGTACATCTGAAAATGTCTTGTACAGGTGCCCCACGAGATCTAATTTCCCATCCTTAATTATATCATTATTTGTAAAATTGTTGGTTAAGGCGCACATAAATAAATATACGCATGTTTGTATCAGTGTTTGAGGACACAAGAACTTGAAACAAGCTCTCAGCAGTCACAAAGTTTAGTCATATGCAGAATGATGTACATGTTATAGATATCTTCTAACATAATTTGTATTTAAAATAGATTAAATTTAAGTGTTTTATTCATTATTATACTCCACGCATTGCTGTGCAAGTGAACACATGGTATCAGTTATGTTTCCATGACTACATTAATATGTCACATTGATCTAAGCACTATTGTCTTTTCTTATTATTCCAATTCACGCTGACAGATCAATTTAAAGGTTTCCCTAACTATGATATAATTTCGTCATTAGTTGGTGCTTTGTATTGATAATCACTGTCACATTCCAACAGGAGCAGTAACTGTTGACACAATACTGACAAATGACAATGTCTATATGAAATTACAACATATATCACTCAATCGATGTAATTGTCAGCATTTACATGTCATGTACACATATACACTGTCGTCATGGAAATATATTCTTAAATGTGCTTAAATAAAAGGGCGATGCCAAGTAGGGTTTCATAACTGCTTTGCATACGACCGTTAGCATTCTTCAATTTCGAGGTAAGTGAATCATCGAATACAGACTGCAAATTTAACGTGTGGTAATCTTTATGTAAGGTCAACGAGTAGTTGTACTCGCCAAATTGTAATTAGTTTAATTCAAACACACTCAGTGGCGAAACCACCAGACTGCTTTCAAGGTAGCGGCAGCATCTATCTAAACATGTAAAAAACACATGTCTTTTTAATATTTTTTCTGGCACAACCTTTCATTTATTTACAAAATACATTTTAAATATCATTTACATGATAGTTTAGAAACATCGAACTTACTGAGAATAAAACAAAATCCTCCTTGTTTCGTATGAGTGCCATCAGATTACAGCGCAAAAGCTAATAGTAAGTACTGGAGGGAGCGGGGGAATATTAGTATTATCTTTGTCTGGGGATTCCTGTGGTGGGATGGCTGAGGAATCCTTTAAGAAGGAATCCGTAATAAAGGCAAGAATAACTTGCTTCACTATTACTGATTAAGGGTGGGTGTTCTTTCCCTAAAAGACTGATGACAGCCCTGCCCAATGCGTTCAAAAACGTAATTGAACTTCTACGCGGGCTATTAGGCCTATTAAACTTTTAAGAAGGAACGAGTCAGTCGAAATATCAGTTCTAGTCCTGGGGTGGGGGTGGTATGGTTTCCGCTGTATATTTAACACCAAGTAACCTAAATAAACAAGAGGAAACATAGTA